CCAGGGTGTGCATTAGTGCAGAACTGGAGTCAGAATCCATGCCGGTATTGAACTCAGGGCCTCCGGTAGGGGACACAGGCCTCTGAAATGAGGTCATAACTGCTGTATCAGATGCATACCCCTAGTGCTATTTTGTATGTCAGAAACACTTGCACAAGTGTTCTTGAGTTTTGAGGAAAAAAAATTGCAGAAGTAGGTATTTAGTTCAGTGAATCTCTTGGGAGAAGACCAAGGAATATGCTTAGTTGAAAATTGAAGTTGGGGGGAGCCAAAGCAAGATGGCTCAATTGGCTAATCACCTTCATGCCATATGGGTGCTGGTTCACATCCTGGGTGTTCCAGTTCCCATCCAGCTCTCTGTTTATGGCCTGGGAAAGCAGTGGAGGATAGCCCAATTCGTTGGGCTGCTGCACCCACATGGGAGACCTGGAAGAAGCTCCTGGCTCCTGGTTTTGGATCAGCCCAGCTATGGCCATTGTGGCCATTTGGAGAGTGAACTTGCGGATGGAAGATCTTCCCCCGTTTCTTCTGTAAATCTGCCTTTGATGAAAAAAAAAGTTGGTGCCAATTTTGTGGCTTTAACAGGTAAAGTTGCCACTTTTGATGCTGGCATCCTGTATGGGTGTCTGTTCAAATCCTGGCTGCTCTGCTTCTAATGCAGTTCCTTGCTCCCACATGTGGGAAAGCAGTGAAAGATGGATCAAGTGCTTGGATTCCTGCATCCACATGGGAGGTCATTGCTGACTCTGGCCATTGGGATCATCTGGGTAGTAAACCAGCAGATGGAAGCCTTCTCTCTGTAACACTGACTTTCACATGACTAGGTAATACATAGTTACTTAAGTAGGTTGGAGGGAGGAAAAAAAAAAAAACTAAAAAGAAGAAAGTGATGTTGTTTTAGTTAGTAAAATAGGCCTTGAGGGTGAAGAGGTTTGATGCGATAGTTAAAGACAGTGCTTGAAGTGCCTGCATCCCATATTAGAGAGCCTCTTGGAGTTCTGGCTGCTGCTCATGTGCTCTCTGGGTGGTAGCTGACGGAAAAGCTTGGGTCCCTGCTTCCCATGTGGTCTCCAGCCTCCTGGTTGCAGCCTGATGTGCTCCTGCCTGTTGCCGTCCTTTGGACAAACAACCAGGGGATGAAAGGTCTCTGCCTGTCTGCCTCTCTTTGCTTGTCAGATAAAGTGAATATATTTCTTAGATGCAGGGGAACTTAAGTACTGTCCCTATCCATGTATTCTTTTGGGTTGTTCATAACTTTGCTCACAGCTTTTTTGCCAAAGCATTTGCCATGAGGTTGCCTAGTCTGTGCAAGCTTTGAGTTCCTGGGAAACTTTAGCTAGCCTTACTCTACCATCTCCTTCCCATCTTTATGTAGGTGCTGCCATTCCACCGAGCCTGACCCTGACCCTACCCTTAGGAAGGTTGCGGTCTCTACCTGCCCTCCATTCATTGTGTGTTCCCCTTTCGTATTTGTTTAGTGGCACCTGCCCCGTCTGACATTATGGCTGTGTACCCTGTGTTATTTGTCTTCTGGTTGGTTTTGCTGCTTACCATGTGTCTCCTTCAGGCACATTGAGGCTAAGACTTTTGTCACTCTTTGTATCCCCAGTGTGAAGAGTATATGCCCCTTGCCACAGAGTGAATGCTAAATGCCTGTAGGACCTTGACAAAGGCAGTTGCTTGTTAGGTTTCTGCTAGTAATGTAACAGACTGTACATGCCAGTGGTTGTTTGCCATTGACTTACGAGGCACATGGCAAATTCATGAATAAGCATGTAAAGAAAATAAATTGCATGAATTGTGTTCCATACAGGTTTCTGGGGTCTCTCTGCTTGTTTGGCAGTAAGTAGAAAATCCTGACTTAGATGAAAAAAGAAAAGTAAATTATGCAGTGTCAGTGGAGTAGAATAAGTTCTTAAAAAAAAAATTTCTATTCTTTAGAGATTAAAACCTGGATAACTAAATGATAAAGAGTACAGGCAGACTTGGCACATGGCTGACTTGTAACATAAGTGGTTTATAAAGTTTTATTGTCCACTCTGTGGCCAAAAGGTCAGGTTTCAGGGTTTCTGGTCCTGATATGGAGGAGAAAGGTGAGGGAGGTGGGTGTGTCATGGCCTTGGGCATGCCTGCAGTTGGTTTGTGCTTTGCAGAGTTGACCAGATGGAATGGTGTGTTGCATGAGACTTAAGCCTTTTCTGAGAGCCTAGAACATGGGACATTGGGCTCAGTTAATGAACATGGCTCCAGTAAAATTCCGGAGTTTTGTTGGCTAAGCTGTTGGGAGTCTCCTATTAAGTCTTAGTGCATTAGGTAAGCAAAAATGCTCATTTTTGTGTTTTAAAAATTTGTCTGACTTTCACAAATCAGGGAAAATAAAAATGGTATGGAATGTATTAGAGACATATTAAGAAACCTAGAAAATTGGGCCTGGCGCGGTGGCACAGTGGTTAAGGTCCTCACCTTGCACGCCTGGGATCCCATATGGGCGCCGGTTCTATCCCGGCAGCCCCGCTTCCCTTCCAGCTCCCTGCCTGTGGCCTGGGAAAGCAGTCGAGGACAGCCCAAAGCTTTGGGAACCTGCACCCATGTGGGAGACCCAGAAGAGGCTCCTGGCTTCGGATTGGCATAGCATTGGCCGTTGCGCTCACTTGGGGAGTGAATCATCGGACGGAAGATCATTCCTCTCTGTCTCTCCTCTCTGTATATCCGCCTTTCCAATAAAAATAATAAAAATAAATCTTTTAAAAAAAAAAAAGAAACCTAGAAAATAGTTTCAAGTCAGATATGCTAACTTTTTTGTGTGACCTTCAAGTCTAAAGCTTACATAACATCATGTAGCTAGTTAATTGCAAGATTGAGACTAATATTTGTTACTAATTTTCACTGAAATATCAATGGGATGGTAGATAAATATTTCATTATAACCTAGGGAGAAAAATTGTGAATTTGTTTTGCAACCTGTGTTTCGTCTTAAAACTAAAAAAGTCATAGATATTTCATCCTCTGTGAGTTATATGTGTCTTACTCTGTATCAGCATCTGTTTTTTTTTAGTATTACGAAAATGCATATTTGAGGAGTTATTTGAAAGTTCATAAAGTGAACATAATGAGAGATTCATTTATGATTTGAGAAGTGATGAAAAGTCAGAGCTGTAAAGAAAATTATAAAAGGGAAATAAATCTGTGTCCAAAAGTTTAGTGTTAGTAGATTGGTTGTCTTTTTGCTGGATTTCCTGGTTTTAGAAGCTACCAAGTTTAAGCAGAAAGATGATCCATAGATACCTTTTTCCTGAGGACAAAATGTGACGGTGCCTGGACCTCCCCTCCCCTCTAACGGCTTTTAACTTCTTCACCTTTTGTGTAAATTGTTTCTTTTGCAAGTCAGATATTTATCAAGCATCTGCGTTTTAACAAAACCTTTTACAAATATCTGTTCAGAAATGATGTGAGAGCGCTGGGCTGGCCACAAGCGGGTCTTGAAGACAGTGTGATGGCAGTAGGGAATATTGGGACATTTGGGCTCCAAAAGATAATTTTTATTTGTTCATGATATGCTTAGTACTTCCATGAAGATGTTTCTCAAATTCAGATGCAAAAGAGAGATTTTTTTTCCCAAAGTTTTATTTATTTTCTTTGAAAGGCGGAGATCGCATGTGACAAACAGCTCCTTTGCACTGCTCTGTTCCTCTTACCCCTGCAGTGACTGGGACTTTGTCAGCTTACTCTCCTGCGTGGGCAGTGGGAGCTCACCTACTTGAGCCATTGCTGCTGCCTCCCCGGGTGGGCACTGGGAGTGACGCTGCGACTCAAGCTCAGACACGGGATAGGAATGTCCCACGTGGTGCCCTCACTGCTTGACCGAATGCCTGCCCCTTAGATTTTCTTCTTTCATTTTTTTGAGGTGTGCATGTGAGGTCACTGTTGCTTGGTGTAGTAGGTTTTTCTGTTGCTGTGTGACCACCAAGGCAAAGAATCGTCCGGGTGTACCTTCTGGTAATCACTGGGGAAGGGCATGAGTCTGGTAGGATGTGTGAACTACGTCGGCTTCCTGGAAGGTGAAGTTTGAGGTCGGTCCTGGAGTCTGAGGGGAACTGGCAGTTGCTGTCCTGAGCTGTTTGCCACTTGGAGTCCTTACATTAGTGTTGGAAGCAGCCTTCTGAATTTTTATTGTCCTTTTATTCAAAGGTTTCCCATTGATGGAAGGACACAGTTCATGTGTGATTGTTTGACCATTCTCTTATCCTGTTGGTGGTCTTTTTTTCTCACTGCAGGCATGCTGTTGTATGTTGTGTTTTCTAAAAGTCTGTGCTGCTAGTTTACTAGCTCTAGGTTGAAATGCAAAAATACACTGTAGAATTACTAGATTCCTATCTCTTTCTGGCAGTCATGTTTAGAAGTTCTAATATGGTGTGTGTTGGCAGGCACATCTTGGCAAATGGTGAGTGCCGTGTGGGAGGGGAAGAGATGCCACCCCGGGTAAGGTAGCTGGGCTGCAAGCCTCTGCTGCACATTCGAGTGTAGTGCCTAGGAGATTAGTTTGTCACGTTTTTAAAGAGATCAACAGCTCCAAAGTCATAGATAGCTTTAGAGTTTGCATTATTTTGTGGCTTAGCTTTGCGTGTTAAAAAATTAGATTTGGATTTGCTCAAATATGGTTCAGAAAGAGTAAGCCAAAGCTTCCCTTACTGGCTTACTTTGAGACTGAAGAGGGCTTTCATCCCTTTTGGATTTCACTAAGGTGTGGCAGTGTCGGAGCAGATGGGAGGCTAGGGTTTGAGCTGAGGGTGTGTGGAAACCTCCCAGGCGATTGGTTGCTCTTAATGGTGAGACAGGAAGAACCACCCACGTCTTCCATTTTGGATTTGAGTCACAGCAGGTTTCCTGCAGCTACCATGTGGCTTTCACAAGTGTTGGGAAATTCAATCTTTGGTGAGATTGATGTTTTTATAGATATTGTGCATGTATTTGCAATTATTTTCCCTTTTTTCAATCCACAGGTGAAACTTCAGAATTGAGTCTCCCATAATGCTGAATGTGACCTGATTTCCAAGATTTTTATAAGAAGAATCAAAAGAACTACACAATCAGGTAAGGGTCTAATTTGATTTCTGTTAATAATAAACAAGCAGTTATTGGGCAAAAGTCGTTCACCATACTTCTGGAATAGAAATATAGGTAAGTTATTAAAAAGGTGGCCAGCTAAATTCTCTAGACTTGCATCTGTTTGGTATTTGCAAGTGATTACACTGGGGTTGGCTGTTTAGGACAATTGGAGAAATAATATATAATGGTGTTAACACATATACAAACAAAAAAGGTTTATTTAAAAAGTTGTTTAGAAAACTGAGTTTAGCTCATCCACTATCTCATGTCCAATTGACTAATCTGTCAGTCTGTGTACCCAACCACCCATGTATGTAAAGCTTCAAGACCTGCATAGCTTTTAAGAATAAGTTCTCTTGCTGTGGCATACCAAAATACTTTAATAGGTTGGACATGGAAAAGTTAACAGAAAAATCGATAATCAGACATGGAAAAGTTAACAGAGAAAGATTGGTAATGAAAAATAATTTTAACTGTATAGGGTTAGTAATTTCAAAATGAGTTTTTCCCAGGAGGAGGGAGAATTGTCCATTGAAAACTGAATACCCCCTGTCTCCCCACCCTGGATTATGTAGAATAGCTGCTCAGTGGTGATTGTCATTGTGTTTCTGGATACATGATTAGATTTCACAGTGTTTCTATAAAGCGTGATTTCTATGAACTCTTGGAAAATCCCTCATATTCTTGCGTTGACCCTCGTTTCAACTCTGTAGTATGTAGTAGTTGAAAGTGTGTTTCAGATATGAAATAACATGCTTTTAAAGTAATTATGGAATTTGCCTAATTGATCATGAGATAATAAGTCATTTCTTAATTAGCTTTTTTACTTTAGCATGGTTTCTTTTCAGGTTTGAAATATGTAAAAAGTCAATTTTAAATTATTGATATCCTTTGGGAGAGGGACAGTGGCAATTGAATAAACCAAAAACCATTTTTAGTAATGTATTACAATTCCCATAGCAGATTCTTTTTCCTGTGTTGCCAGATGGCAGATATTTGTTCACAAACTTTAATGTAATGGTAGCTAGCATGCCACTAGAGATAAGGTGGCTGGGATTTATAACAAAAGATGGATGCTGTGTGACCCTATAATCATACCCTTTGCGTTCCTCTTCTTGATGTTGTGCCCTGGTTAGAACTCTTAGGGTCCTCCCCTTCTTCCTAAGCAGTGGCTTTCAAGCTGTTTGGTCTCAGAACACCTATGTTGTTAAATGTGATTGCAGACTTGAGTGAGCACCCCACTGTCCCAGTATTATAGCCATCACTATTCAGTATATCAGTAATTAAAATGGAGACAAAATGTGAACATGAAAATGTAAGTATGCATTCCTCAGATGCAAGTGATGACATTGTCATAATCTGAAAGACATACGCTTGAGAGAATGAGGGCGTAAATTGCCAGTAATGGTAATTTTGAAGGATTTATTGAGGTGTAATTTCTGTACAGTGAAAATCTGCCATCTTAGCATAGGGTTTGTGGCGGATTTTGATTTTGAATGTGTGTAGTTTTTCACCGCAGTGATGATACAGAACATTCCCGGCTCCTCATGCATTCACCTACCCCAGGCCTGGCCCCCTCTGATTTATTTTCTATTCCCCTAGCCTCAAAGGTGACTCTTGGTCATGGTAATTCCTGGGCTCTGGCTTAGTTTTTCTCACCGCTCAAGTCTTGGGACTTGTGCCTCCGCCCTCTGTCCTGACTGAGCAGCTCTCTGGCACTCAGAGTGACTGCATGTCTGAATACATGAGTAATTTTGTAAGACATTTTGTTTATAAGGAGCTTTCCCATATGTGAAGGGTCTTCAAAAAGTCCATGAAGAAATGGGATGAAAGATGTTAACTTAGGTGCAAGTTTAAATTTGAGATCCACACAGTTTTTACATAAGAACATGCATTTTCTGTGAGCTTTTGAAAATCCCTTATATTCTTGCATCATTCTCATTTCAACCATTAGTATGTAGCACAGGTGTTGGACCCTGTTTTCACTTTTTAAAAAAGATTTATTTGTATTTATTGGAAAGGCATAGCAATAAAAGGAGAGACAGATCTTCATCTGCTGCCTCATTTCTAAATGGCCCCAGCGGCCAGAGTTGGGTCAGACCAAAGCCAGGATGTGGGAGCTACCTCCAGGTGTTTGCAGGTGTGAACAGAGGCCCAAAGGACTTGGACCATACTTTGCTGGGAGCTGGATTGGAAGTGTAGCAGCTGGGACTAGAACCAATGCCAACCCTTCAGGTGGAGGCTTCATACACTATGCCACAGTGCAGATACCTGTTTTTCTTTTCCTTCCTCTTCCCCTGCCCCCTTCTCTTTTTTTCCTTCTCTTAAACATGTGTTTCTTTACTTGAAAGTCAGTGTTAGCGGGAGAGACAGGGATTTTCTGTCTGCTAATCCATTCCTGGGTAGCCACAACAACAAGGATGTGCCAGGCTGAAGGCAGGAACCATTAATTTCTTCTGAATCTTCCACTTAATCTCAGGGGCACAACCACTTGGGCCGTCTTCCATTGCTTTTTCCAGGTTGTTAGCAGGAAGCTGGATCAGAAGTGGAGCAACTGGAACAAAGCTAGCACCCATATGTGATGCTGGCATTGCTGGTGGCAGCTTACCCGCTATACTACAATACTGATCCCTATTCTCACTTGTAAAGTAAAAATATTACTTAAAATCTAGAACTCCATTATAACTGTCTAATTGGATAATGCCAAAGAAGCTTACATACTAAAAATAGCTTTTTAAAATTCAGTTTTCCTTGGCTTTTGGGTGTTCTTGTTTTCCTTGGCTTTCGTAAGTTACACAAGTAAAATGTAGTCTTACTGAAATAGATAGCAAGAGAATCATGCAGAATAAAACCTGCAAGTCACTGTTAGTTGCATGCTTCCAATCTTGGTTGTGCACTTAATATAGTTTTGTCTTAACACAGAATCTGATTGTGCCTTGTTTTTTCAAGTAAACATGTCTTAGATGATTCCATATTAGGAAATCTAAATTGTTCTAGTTCTTTTAATAACCATACAATTTTCATAAACTCACACTGATGGACACATAGCCTGTTTTTAATTTTAAAAATACATACATAAATGGAAATGGACTTTTTGGCTTTTTCTTACTAAAACATGCTAATTCTAACTGAAAGACTTATTTCCAAGATATTAGGGGTGAAGGAATTAATGTCTTCCATAGGAAATCATATCTTTTTTTAAAAAAGTATTAATTTTGAAAGTTAGAATATGAATTGATTTTCTCTTCACTGGTTCTCTCCCCAGATGGCCAGGGCTAAGCCAAGTGGAAGTCAGGAGTCTTTTCCCTGTCTCCTGTGTGGGTGGCAGAGGCCCAAGTGCTTGGGTCATCTTGTGCTGGCTTCACAGGCCATTCCATCAGGTGGCAGCTAGGTTGGCAGTAGAGCAGCTGGGACTCTAACCAGGTGCATATGGGATGCTGCATTGCACGTGTAGGCTTTACCTGCCGCACCACAGTGCCAGTCCTGAGAATCATAGCTAAGACTTTACAATATTCTTTTGAAGGCCATGGCCACTCTAGGAAATTACAGGATGTATGGTCTGACCTTTGAGTATTTTGGGACTAGGCCTTCTCAGTTGCTGATGCGTGTGCAGTGGACAGACAGCATGTCCAAATGTACATGGGGGACATGGCAACTAGCTCAACTAGGTCAGCAAAGGATGTTGACTGGCGATCAGAGGATAGAAAGCAGAACAGGTTGGACAGTTCTCCCGGTCAGGCTAACAGCATGTTCCTGGGTCTGTGGATGAATTAAGGTGGAGTTTGCCAACTAGTAGACTTTGGAAAGATTTTCTCAACCCAGGAGCAGTGAAACCAGCTGTGAAAACCACTCAACACCTTTGGAACATTCTTCTCTACACTGGGGTCTCTAAAGGACTGTCCCCCATCCCTGAGTGCTGATAGAGTTTGATAGCAATGAGCGGTCCCCTTCTCTCCCATGACACAGGAGAAGAAAAAAAAGACATTTGTGCCACTACCTTCTTCCATATGTGGTCCTCCCTCTCAACTATGTAAACAGTATTAAAAAAAAATATTCTTGTGAAATACATTAGTCCTCTGTTGAGATTGTTTTCTGGTTTATTGTTTTATACATTTTTTTTTTTGAAAAGTGTAGTGATTGAAATCTTCCATTTGCTGGTTCACTCTTCGGATGTTTTTGATAATTGAGGCCGAGCCAGGAATTCTATACAGGTATCTCATGTGCATGGTAGATGCCCAAACTGTTGGGCCATCTCCACTGGTTTTGCAGGTGTCTTGACAGGGACAAACTGGAAGTAGAGCAGTCAGGCCTTGAAGCTGAGTGGCTCAGGTGGCAGCTTAACCCACTGCAGCATAATGTCAACCCCTCTGGAGATCTTTCCCACATGATATTTATGCGTTTTATTGTTTGAATTTTGTAACACTCTCCATTCACTATTTGAGTAGAATAACTGCTGTGCATATGGCTGGTATGTAACTCCGTAACAGGATTGCTGCTTCCTCGCCCTTCAGCCATACCAGAGATATCCACGCTGAGGATAGGTACAGACTGGCTGAGATGGATAGTTCAACCTCACAGTGGTGGGAAAGAGATGCATATTTGATAGAAACCATACTTTAATTTTTTATCTTTTCTGTTATGTTGGGCAGTAACAACAAGCATAGGTGCTTTCAAGCCCCAGAATCGTGTGGGGCAAACATGGCCGAGCCACAGTGTGCTGTGTATGCCACGTGAGGTATGTTAAGTGATCTTTTGACTTATGAGACTTTGAATTTATGGTGGATTTATTGGAACAACTTTTTGTCATAAGTTGAGCGTCTGTGTTTATGTGCAATAGGCATGGTGCTAAGGACTTACTCTGTACATACATCACCGTCTCATTTCTTCTGGGCAACTTTGTGAGATTGATGGTGGCAACTTGGAGATCAGGTGGATTGCCTGAGGTCAGTTACGGGTTTAGGAGTCAGAGAACTTGTTTCCAGCTC